CATGGCTTTGTCAAAGGGAGAGGGATTGGAGATTGCATCTCATTAGCTCAGTTAATGGTTGGAGAACTTGATCGAAAGGTTGAGGCTGGCAATGTGATTCTAAAATTGGATATGATGAAGGCGTACGATCGCATTGAGTGGGACTTTCTACAAAAAACTTTAGAATGCTTTGGCTTTTCAAATCTACTTGTCTCTATCATTGGCAAATGCTTGAAGAATCAATTTTTCTCGGTTTGCTTGAATGGGAAAAGATTTGGGTATTTTCCTTCATCTAGAGGATTGAGACAAGGTGACCCGATCTCCCCAGCTCTCTTTATTCTAGCAGAGGAAGTGTTAAGCAGGGGCTTGACGAGGCTGTACGGTGATGGTAGGATCAAGGCCTTTCATGCAGAAAGGGGTGCTCTTCTTGTTTCTCATCTGTTTTTTGCAGATGATACTCTGCTGTTTCTTAAGGGAAATAAACTCTCCATGGAACGAATGATGAAGTTTTTGACTAGATATGAGAATAGCTCTGGGCAGAGAATAAACAAGCATAAAAGCTCTTTAATTTGCTCGTCCAAAATTCCTGGGGGCAGGAAAATGGCTTTATCCAGAATTGCTCAAATTCCGATTAAAAAGTGTCCCTTCATCTACCTGGGCTGTCCAATGATAAAAGGAAGATATAAATTGCAGGATTTTGAGGATGTGATACAAAAGTTCAAGGCAAAACTAGAAGGGTGGTATGCATGCCTGCTTTCTAATATGGGTAGAATTGTGCTCATTCAATCGGTTCTCAATGCGATTCCTATTCATTTACTCTCTTGTCTAAGCGTACCCAAAGGCATCCTTGCGAAGTTGAAGTCATTAATGGCCTCTTTCATGTGGTCTGGCAGAATGGGTGAGAGGAAAAGGCAATGGGTTTCATGGTCGGATATTTCAAGACCGAAGCAAGAGGGAGGTCTTGGAATTCGAAAATTTGAAGACATTCAAACGGCTTTTAGATGGAAGCAGGTGTGGGGAATTCTTAAGGGTGATTCTCTTTGGGCGAGCACGTTTAAAGCTAAATTCTTAAACGGTAAACATATGTTGAGGTGTCAGGGTACTGGTAAATCTCGTACATTCCGTATGCTGCAACCTTTCTTTAGATCGGTCATGGATAACTCCAAGGTTATGGTGGGGAATGGGAGGTTTGTGGATTTTTGGTGCTCGAACTGAACTGGATCTGGTCCTTTTCTGCTCAGGTATGGCGTCTCTCCCTTGTGCTTTCCAAGTCTGGATGCGTTATGGGCAGGTGGGGATTGGCAGTGGCAGCTTTTGGGGGTCCAGGTCTCTGATCAATTAAAGCATGAAATCCAAAATTCTGGGGTTAGAATATGCGAAAAGGAAGATCGTCTGATATGGACTTTAACCGAGTCTGGAGAGTTCAATGTAAAATCTGCTTGGCAAGCGGTGAGATCTTCGAATGACCCTGTGCCTATTGCCTCTGCGCTCTGGAACCAATCTGTCTTCCCAAGTGCAAAACTGCTGGGTTGGAAGATTCATCTGAAAGCCGTGTTAGTGGACTCAAATTTCCAATGAATTGGCGTTGAATTGGCTAGTAGATGTCCCCTGTGTCGTATGGATGTGGAATCTT